GTTGTCACATTGAAATCGAGTTAATAATGATCATAACGATTTTAGTTAGATGTATTACGTTCCTATTCTCCTTGACAAGTTTTCTTTCTCTAGAAAACTCCTAGGTGTTCAAGTGTTGCACCCGATTATATTGCAACACTTCCTTAGGTTAGGTTATGAAGGGTACGTTCACACAAGCGTAATAAAATGGTGATCTCTTCGACAAACCGATGAACTGTTCGCCGAAAAACCAAATTGTCTATACGTATGTTCGCTTGATGTCCGTAAAACAATAAATAATTACTGTATAAGTAAAAATAATAGTTAATATTTTTCTATCGTGTGTTTATAAAAATGTTTGTAGATACATCCAAACACGTCGTCGTTATATCGTTCGACGTTAGGGTGGGATCACACAGCGCGTGACGCGTCGCGATAACCGTGGAATTACGGTGTAAAGTGGTACAGTAGACGTGCCGTCTGAACCGGTATTGCGCGTATAGGTTTGTATGAGCGTCATGCGTCAAAAGAAAATTGGTGCTACGCGTCTCATCAATCTAACAGCGCGTCGGTATCTATTATTTGTTTATCAATGTATCTATTTATAATTTTTCATACATTGAAGTTGATTAATAGTTCATACATTGATGAATAGTTATTTAAAGATGCTATAAGTAATAAAATTTATACATTTATAAATGTTATGTAATTGTTTATAAATATAATGTGATTCCTAATATTTTTAAAATGTTAAAATGTATAATACTTTAAAATAAAAATATATATCAATTGAAATTTTTTTTACATTTATACTATACTGGTATTAGTAACCTTACCAAACAAGTATTCTTAATTCATAATTTGTTTTTTGAGCCAAAAAATGATCCAAAAGTCAAGAAATACATTATTTTGAAAACGGACAGTTGACTACACTGCATATACTTCATGTTGATTTAAGCACAATAAGCAGATATATTATGTATATAATCATTACCATTATGCTTGTGCCATGTGTCACAGATGGTCTCGAATGTGTTCCAGCATTCCTTGGGTACTATAATGTGATAAAACCCAGAAAATTTTAATTTTAATGCGTATGAGTTGATCAACAGATATTATTCTGTTTATGAATATTATAAAAAGATTTGGCTTCCCAAGGAAATTAATAAAACTACTTAAAGTTATCCAAAAATACATGACGATTTAAGCAAAACCAAATATATTACTAATTCATGCATTACATATTTTGTATACATTTAAAAAAAGACACCACGATTAGTAATTAAATATATATATATATATTAATAATAAATAAAGCTTAGAATTGTACACATATTTATATTTTTTTACACTATTTAATTTTTTTGATATACCACTAGCGAGTACGAATACCAATCGAATCGGTCTATATTGCGGTCAAACTAGTCGAAATCAAACAGTATTCGTGGAGCGAATTTACAATTATTAAATTTTTTCATATAAGTATTCAGGTATCTTCCGCGCAGATAATATTAAGTTACTATGATGCAATAACCATTAAAAAAACAACGACCTAGTCCTGATTGGTCTTTAAGTAATTAAGAAATAAATTGCAATTTGTAAAGTAATATATCTATTTCATAAGGAAAATTAATTAACTGTAAAAATTACCATTTCAAAAATAATTTTATCTAACTTTACCATAATATATATAAATACAGTTATAAAAAAAATTGAACTTTTATCAAATATGATAACTATTTATCATCAACTAAGATATTTTGTAACTTTTTGATGTGGATAAAAAATAATGCCTATAACCGAATATATATTTTATAAAACAAATATTATTATTAGGGAAACATCATCGAAATGACAATTCATATATTTTTTATTATTCTTAAAATAAAAATTTAGTAAGCATAATAATAGTAAATACAATTTTTAAACTCTCTTAACGTTGCAAATAATTAATTTACATTTACTTAATATAAGATTCTTTAAAAATATATATTTAATTCAAATGATTATGTGAATATTATGGAAAAATTAATACATCATGAATGAAATCACAAAAACTTAATATGATTTCGTAGTTAAAAAAAAATTACTAAAAAATAATAATTACAATGCAACAATAATTGTTATTCTAGAATACATCTAAACCTTTTAATGCCGCCAGTTCAAATAAAACTCATATTAAAATGTAAAATATACAGAGATAGGTACACTAAATGGCCCAACACAACAGTGAACATCTACAGCTTTAATTGCAAAATGGTATTTTCCTCCAGCAATAATCTAAAACAATTTTATTTAAAATTAAGTTATATTCAAAAGTAATAATAAATACACTTACATTATTTAATGAGCAAATCATTGGTAAAGGAAGAGCATCGACTTTTCCAATTTCTTTCCAAAAAGCACTTCTAGGAATATCTGTAGGTGATTCTTTGTAAGTGAATATTTGATAGTTAGAAATTTCAGCGTGTGTGTTGTTAAGATCCACATTCCAAGAAAGCACTATGGCTATAATAAAAATAATAAAAAAAAAATAATAAAAAAAAATAAAAAAAAGGTAAACAGAATTTAACATCAATAATATACAAATACCATTTGTATTTACAGATACATTAATGGTCATTCTTGGTGCAGGTGGAATTTTTTTTGGTGTATGAACATATTTTGATAACGGAGGAGCAGGCAATTGAGCAGGATGCTGTAATATTAATTTATTACCACTCATAAAATTAATTAATTAACATTCAACACCAAAAAATTAACTGTAACTATACTTTTGGTATAGGAATAGCAGGAAGTACAGGTTTTAATGTTCCATCAGAATTAGATGTAGATATTTGACGTGTAGTGATAGCAACACCACGCTTAACAGATTTCATAACAGGGTTTATAGGAGAACTTTGAATTTGTACCGACTTCAAAATCGATCCAACCTGTACAGGCTTTAATTTCTGCCCAACACATACAGATTTTTGTACTAAATTGGAAGTCATAACTGAAATTATAAATATTTGTAATTACAATGATAATATATAATATACTCCATTACACATAAGATCAACGGTCTATCGTAAAATACGGGACTGTAGATATGGTTTACTGGTACACTCACCACATAAGCGAGTGCTTAATGAGCGCTGTTACCCATTGAAAATGTAGTAAAATTAGACACATATCCCTTCCATCACTGACATACATTTTTTGAGGTAAATAAACTTGTTATTATATATTGAATATTATTTTAATTTTATATCCATTGCCTACCAATCTTCACATTTGTATAGGTATACCTACTTTAAACTTATGGATATTTTTTCTCCAAATGTTGTCCGTTTCAATATAGACTCATAATGTATCCCACTGCATAGGATCAATAATTTTAAAAAAAATAACTAAAATTTTTGCTAAAATACAATTCACACATTTGTGTACGTATTTTCTGTAATACCACTATAGTACAAAAAAATAAAATATTAAATTTTAGCATCATAATACGCATACATATTCGTAAACAAAGCTGCTTTGTCAAAATGCAAATCTGGAAGATATTTTTTTTATATAAATATACACTGATTCCATTACTATAATAACATAAAGGTCATATTGCTAATGTGGTAATTGACCACGATTACAACAAGCAAAGTTTGTGGTTGTTTATGTAATAGTGTGGTAGTACTTTCTTCGAACCGGAAGTATAAATATTTTCTGAATCGACTAAAAAATCGGGTATATATACTTTAATTGTTTAAATATTATTTGATATCTACGATAGCAGATAAAACCAACTTAAACATATATGTAGGTTAAAAATATTTGTAGCTATTGATCACGAAATATAATATAAATATATGATAATCACAGTATTAAATACTTTGATTAATTGTCAAATAGAAACATATACAATACTATACAACACGTTCCTCACCAAATTGCTAAATAACAAGATTGATGATTCATTTTTATTAAGTCAATTAAATTTCAAAGTTAATAGCCACCACACTCGTAACAATCATTAATTCTATATTCCTCATTCTTCTAAAAAGTTTACGTCATACGACCCCATAAATATTTTAATGTCCTCGGGAAATAGTTAATTATATTATAAAACATTGAATTTATTTTTATTATCATTGTCGTTGTTATTATTATTATTGTTGTCATTATCATTGTTATTATAATTATTATTATTATTATTGTTCGATTTATTAATCTTTTCATTTTTTATTGTGTTATGTTTTACTATTTTGAATTGTATTATGTTATTGTTATCTTACAAATATATTGTGAACTGGACTTTTGTCCGTATAAATAAATAAATAAATAAATAAATAAATAAATAAATATTAAAACAATAAAGTGTCAATAAGATATTAATGACTGAGCCTATCGACAAACTTGTAATTCTAAAGAAACCCAATATAAGTTATTCAAAAATTTTGTGTTTAATTTGGTATTTTTTGTTTTTTTTTTCACCTAAATATAACTGATATATAAATATGGTAAAAGATATTACCTATAAAATACAACTATAACAACATGTTTACATAAACAACTTTCTAGCAACTATAAAATAGTCCACTCTTAACATGACATAACATTTTATACATAATTAATTCAAATTAAACACAAATAATACTATACATAAATTACATAATTAAATATCATTTGTTAGTGTATGTTTTTTAGCGTTGGGATATTTTTTCCTGTAATCATATATGGTCTGTACAAAAATTGCTTTTGTCTTCGTTCTTAGTAATTAAATTATTGTAATCACTAATTAATTTTATTCCACGTTCTGCTGCATCATTAACAACTTTTAAATTTGTAAATTTATCAAGTCCTTGTAAATAATGCTGATTGTTTTTCCATAATGCAGGATCTTCATTTAAAAAATCTGTTTTAATGTTAAACCTATGAAATAGTTTAACTGATGAGCTGTTGATAAAATCACTTATACATTTACATTTGAATAGGTTCAAGTTTTTAATATCAATGGTGAAACAATTAATATTATATTCACCGGTGTCAATTGTACTTAGTGCTTCTACCATTTTTTTCATTTCTGATAGTGGAACGTTTATATCAAAAAATGCAAGTACTGCTGTTTCAGGACTTAGGTACCAAAGATGTCCACACATTTTTTTTAATGTTATTAATGCAACTTTTTGATCTATATTTTCATACTCTTGTAATTTTTAAATAAACATAAGATCTTGGTATGGTGCTTCAATTGTTATATGCGCTCGAAACAAACTTTTTATGTAAATAGAAACAATAAAAATGCATGTATCTTGACATGCCTTTTGTTGACGTGGCGACATTTTGAATTGATTACGAAAAATGAATATTTTTAAGCAGTATATTGCCTTGGCCATCCACTAAGCATGATGGGAAGCACCTGGAATACGAAATGATATTCCACGATGTGGAGTTCCTCCGAGAAAAATAATCCTAAGTTCTAGAAGTTCCCTGTAATCCTCACGAAATTATTCATTTTTCGAATTATCGAGAGGGAACCCCTAAAAGTTGTTCGCGCCCTTCACATAAAATTAGTACTGGTAGTCTTTCCACTAAATCTTTACCGGTCAATGAAGGTAACATTTTTTCATCCCAATGTAAAACGGATTCTTTAAATAAATCTTTATTAAAACTTAAGCGTAGTTGTTCTGCTTGCAGTTTTCGTACTTTTTCACGAACTTGGGGAATCGATGAACGGTTTATTACTAAATTATCAACATTATGTCCTAATGCCTGAGCCGCGTTAATTAATACATGAGTTGTATCTCTATCGCTTACCTTGCATCTATCTAAAACAATTACAAGTTTTTTGTTGATGAATATTGTTCTTCCGCGTTTATTAGTTGAAGGGCCGACTTCATAAGATTCTTCACACATTTTCATAATAATAGAGTTATTGGTACCTTGTATGTTTTGGCCTAACTCACAATATTCAGGCAAACTTTCTTCTGTATCACTTGAAGAACATAATTCCACAGTTTCAACTAAAAGTAATAAATTATATTAATTAACATACGACAAATTATAAAAACACAGAGTACGAAATACGAAATACTTAAGATAGATTTCATTTTTTTTTCATTCAATTTTATTTTTTTTCAGATTCTTCTAATTGTTTAAAGCGTTTAAATTATCTTTTTTGACTTATCCAATCGACGCCAATCAATGCTCCTGAACGACCTTTTTGTCTCTGAGTTATTAAAAACTGTTTGTCTTTATTTATAGTCATTATGTCTAATGCATCTGCATGGGCAATGTCGAAAAGTTCGTCAAAACATTGTACAAACTCATTTTCATTATTAATTTGAGTATTTGTTCGCCAATTTGAATTTTTCTGCAAACTTCGCCATGTATTGTACAACTCTTCCAACAGCGGTACACAATTACGAACTTATCTAGTATGAATTCGAGCTTTTTGCCAAAATATTAATGTTTCGTCAATCACTAACCGCACACTTTCACGTAAACTTAACTTGACTTCTCGAATGTTAAAAAATAAGACCGATAAAACTTGTTTGTTTGATGATAACTTGCATCTAACAAGTTGATGAGAAGTAGTACCTATTAAATAAATACTTCTACGAATATTGATTTTACTTTGCATTTTTAAAATTAAAATCAATAAGCATGTTTGTCGATGGTGTGTTGACGGTTCTAAACTGAGCTCTGACGAAAATGGTCGAATCGAATTAATATAAACAACGCGTCTAAAAGCGAGTTAATAATAAACTTGTAAAGATACGCATAACATTCGAAAACTACGTATTGTCGCATTACCCAGTGTATTAACTATACATATTACAAAAAACGCCTGCAGGTCAACGTCGCGATAACGCGTGTAGGTTTCATGTCTGCGCAAGTATAGGCATGTTAGAACATGTCTAATTAATATTGTACAGCTTTGCAATTATGTGTTAATTTGTAGCGTGAGTTTTAACAATGTTAACACTGGATAATTTAATAGCTACTAGAAAATTGTTTATGTAGTCATGTTGTTGATTTTCTTGATACAAAGTATATTATGTACAATTGTACAAACTGAACATGTAAAATACAACAAAAATTGAGTTTTTTTATTTTGTGATTGAATGAGTAGTTGCATGCAAAAAATACAAGTAACATTTATTATAGTATATTTAATTTAAAAAATATTTTTTTTTAATACTTTTTAGCCTATCTTAAATATTTAAGGCTGAAATTACAAAAATCGAAAAGCCCACCCTTCTTTGAACTTTAATCCTTTTGAGGCACGCCTTAGGGTTGAACAATTATTACGAAACTTTACACAATTTATTTTATTATAGTTTTAAACAAATTTCATGGGTAGCCCAATCTTCTATAATATTATTTTGCAACGATTTTATTTGTAATCTTGTACCGTTACATAAGTTCGGTGGTTGAAGATTACGTAATAATGTAATTGGAGCACCAATTTTTAATTTTAGCTTATGAGGAAGAAATCCCGAAGGAGAAAGAGAATTAAGAAATTCTTGTAGATAATGAATAGCATCATCTGTTGATGTAACTGTATCAATAGATAGATATTCACGTGAGTGTCCATAGAATTTTAGAAGGATGATATCATTAATTTCTCCTGCTGTTACATTTCTGAGAGAGATAATAGCTCTTTCACATAACCACTGATAAGATTTATTGGACAGATTAAAAATATCAGGATAAACTGTAGAAATCAACTCTTCCGCGTTATTGACCACCCGTCCAATAGTGTGATTGACAGAAATGTAACCATTTTCATTTTCTAAAGTTCCATTTCCAATTTTCAACAACTGTGCTGAAAAAATATCGTCCCCTCCGCATAAATAAACTCTCATGTTTATTCGCAAATAAAGTTTTTCAACATAGTTCTATATATGAGAAGATTTTAAGCAAGCATTAACGACATCAGCTCGAGTACCTTTAGGGATTACTGGTAAGGTTTGACGGAAATCACCAGCGAAAACAAATGTTATGCCACCCATAAACTTATTATTACACCTAAGATCTCTTAATGTTCGATCAATTGCTTCGATATGTGATCTATGACTCATTGTACACTCATCCCACACAACGAATGAGGTTTCTTGAAGAATTTTTCCAAGAGGGCCATTTTTACGAATCGGACAAACGTATTCTGTATCAAATAATACATTTAACGGTAACTTGAAAGTCGAGTGAGCAGTTCTGCCGCCACTAAGGAGAGTTGCTGCTATACCAGTTGAAGCTACTGCTAATGCAACTTCACCGGAGGATCTAATTTGAGCCAACAACAAATCAATTAGGAATGATTTTCCTGTACCACCCGGATATTCTTGCATACTATTTCATAAAGTATAGGATCTTTGTCTTTGTTTGGTATCTCGGCAGAAATAATTTTATCAATTTCATCTGGCTGAATTTTCGTTTGTAACCACAAAAGAATGTGGCAGTGTGGCAAACCTCGTTTTTGCCATTCAACACTGTAAACATAACAATTTACATCACCGAAAATATATTTATTTTTTAATACATGCATAAACTTTTTTAGTTTGAGATGAAAAACTCTAGAGATTATATCGTGTCAAACGACTTTTGGTCTTGAAATAATTCATTTTTTATTTCCGGCCATTCCAGGTTGCATGTGAAAGTAATAAATAAATCTGGACGGCTAAATTTACGAACAAAAGTCATGACATCCTGATTTTTTTCATGCATGTAACGTGGGGAGCCAGTAAAATAGGAGGGAAGAATTACTTGTTGCCCCACGTTATTAGCATTAATATTTGCATCATTGTTAACAGCATCTCGGAGGTGAACATATCATCCGCACGTAGTTGTTTTTGATGGTTACGAATAAAGTGTAGTCTTTCAGAAATCATTTTTGCTATCATATCTACGGCGAATTGGCTGAAAAATGTTTTGTAATAATGTAGATTATTTAGACTTGTTTCTCTAACCATAAACCTCTAAGAATAAAATTGCATGCAGGAGACAGTTTTTGTTCGATTTTGGTTATTTTTCTGTAAAATATTAACCATCTTCGCCTCTAGTATATATCAATGGATATTGCAGTGCATCATAAGATCTATTCAATTCGGAAACTCGACTCAAGTGTCCACTCCGACCGTGCAGAACTATATCTCTGGGACCTTTATCTTCATTAACTAATAATACAGCTACTTCATCGATGGTAGGTGCATTATATTGACCTCTGTGTTCATCTTGAGGAACTCTGTCAGCATGAATAATTAAATTAAAGTTTTGCAACTCATCAAAAGACCTCGACTTCAGATTAGATCTGAAGCTCTGTATGAAGTGATTATTTTCACGCAAAACTGTTTGCAATGATTCAATGCTTTTTAAATTTGGAATCATATTTGTTCGAATAGATATTTGATCCGACTCTGACATAAAATATATTTGTAAAAATTTAGCATTATTTCCAATTTCGGGTAATAAACTACCTATTAACTAATGCACTTGACCCTGAATTTTAAAAGAGGGCATGAAGTTCCCTTCAGCTATTTCGTATGCTCCAAACGATGTCATTTGAAACAGAGTATTATACCGTCTAGAATTATCAAAGAAATGTTTTGATAGAGGGTAAGAATTATCAATTAAACTTTTAATTAGGTCTGGAAGATCCTCAAATTGGCGTAAAACAACTTTACCGTAATAGCAGCAAAGTCCATAGGTTTCATCTTTCCGTTTTTTTGCATGGCACTTAGGACATAATATAGTCATTCGTCCAATTTGAAGCGCTTTAATATTTAAATAATCAACTCGGATTGATAATTAAACGAAGATTTCATACTCAAAGCGTTACGTTGCTCCTGTGCAAGTGTTTGAGAACGTTCTGGTGTGTTATTTTGATGTTTTCTGTTATACATTCGAGTTGCATTGGCAGTTCTTCTGCCAATGAGTGCTCTTTGTGCTCTCGGCATGATAATGAATTGGCCACTTACCCGCAGTAGGTAAATAGATAAAATACTATTTGCGGAAAAACGCGTTTGGCGTCAGGCGGATCGTAACACTATTAAATAATAGTGTTGATAAATACTATTTATAATCGATGGTAACACGTTTGTTGGCAAGAATATTATTACATAAGAGTATTTTTCGATAACGCAAAACGTGATCGGTATTTTCCATACACTTCTTATAATATTAAAACTATTATTAATTTCGACAAATGTTTTTGGACGCGCGTGTACTATTGATGAATGTCAATTAAATAATTTGATGACCTGTTAGATATCTAACACTATACAAAGGTCAAGTTACAGGTAGCTGTAAACCCGCGGCCCGCTTACAAAGCCGCTAACACGCGACTCTTCTACAATTGATTTTAATTTTTTATGAACTTTTTTACTGACAAAAGTGGTACTAAAACCTTCAGCAGAGTGTCGGGTTTCAGCCAAAAAAAATTTCAGCCAAATCGGTTCAGTAGTTTTCTCGGTTAGCGCGGTCTAAGAAAAACCCTTACAATTTTATATATAGTATAGATAAATAGATAGATAGATAGATAGATATATTATTTGATTAGATTTTTTCAAATATAAAATAATAATTTTCACAATTTTTTAAATAATTATTAAACATTTAGTAATTTTATAATTCAAATTATATTTTTAAAAAATCAATCTTATTCTGAAATAATATAATCAGTGTTTAGTTATACCTAGTTATGATCAATAACTTTTTACGTTTTTAAAACATTTTTGCCTTCGGGCGCCGGGGAACTTCTGTTCATTTTTTTTTTTTTCAATTAGTTTAATAACTTCTTTTCATTTATTTTCAAAACCAGTAGCTCAGAAGAAAAAACATGCTGAAATGAGTGATAGTGATAATTCTGAATGCGACGGTGAAAAAAAAGCACCATTGCGGAGGAGTGTCGAAGTTACACCCTCGACTTCTTTGACTACTGAAAAATGTTTTGAAAATGACTTAAGAGAATGGATTAGACGATCTTCACATATGACAGCAACACAAATAATGGAAATTTTTAAACTTTGTTGGATCCCGTCAAAAAACTGCAATTTTACTAAATAAATAAACTACAAGAATATTTAGGACTGATTGGTTGGAAACATATTCTTTTTGGCTGAAATATTCTAAAAAATTAAAAGGCGCATTATGTTTGTATTGCGTCTTATTTCAATCAATAAATGTATCAGTAGTTTTAGGATCATTTATTATTAAACCTTTTACATGTTATAAACATATACATGAACACTGTAAGAATCATATAACCAACCAATGGCACCACAATCCTGTTAAATCAGCAAACAGCTTCATAGAAGAAATTCCTATTAACATTAAAATGGTGTCAGGACAAAAAAATAATAGAAGAAAATAGGAAAATTATTATATATGTATTATATGAAACATTCAATTTTGCGGAGTTCACGGCTTATCATTGAGAGAAAAAATTCGGATGAAGGTAACTTCCTTTGACTACTTCAAATTTAAATTAGTATTTTTGTTTATTACCAATAATTCAAATAAAAACTTTTTTCAAATAAACAAATTATTTATAGGGATTTTTCAAGCTCTACTTCATTTTCAAATCAAAGCAGGTGATCAAAATCTCAAACAGCATTTAGAAGAAGGTAAGAAAAATGATGCTACTTATACTTCTCCACAAATTCAAAATGATATAATTCGGTTATGTGGAATGGTAATCAAGGACTACATTTTAAAGGATGCTAAAGAGGCTTCTGCTTACAGCTTGATGAAAGATGAAAGTCAAGACGTATTGTGAAAATACCACCTTTAATTGGCATTCGATTTTTGATGAAATAAAACAAGTAATCCGTGAAAAATTCCTAGGTTTTGTAGAATTTGATGCAATGGATGCAAAAACAATTGCTTTGACAATAGACAATTTTATTACAGACTCAGGACTTGATCAAAAAAAGTTCATTGGACAGGGTTACGATAGCTGTGAACCATGTTGGGTAATGATAATAGTGTACAATCTATTTTACGAAAAAAATACACACATGCATTATATTTCCATTGTGCAAGTCATAAATTGAATTTAGTTAATAAATGATTTAAAACTTGTACCTGAAATTCGGAACACTATTGCTACAATTAAAGACATCATCAATTTTTTCCGTAAATCAACTTTAAGACGAAAATATGTGCCCCACATTCCTGCGTTTTGTGAAACAAGGTGGTCTTATAAATACAAAAGCATAGCACTTTTCAAACAGAATTTTATTAACACTGTTAATGGACTGGAAAAATTGTCAAAAGAAGACAATTATGTAACACAAAAAACAGCATTTCAACTGAACAATGCGGTAAAAGATTCAACATTAATTTTATGCTTAATCCTTATATCAAAATATTCAGCTTTACTAGAGCCTGTTGCTAATGTTCTACAAGCAAAACATTTAGATCTTTTCTCATACACTGATCACATAAAAAAAATTCTCAACATTGTGAAAAACAATTGTAGAAATGCTGAAGATGAAATTGAAAATCTTTTAGCAGATTCTCAATCATTAGCGCAAATTATAGGAGTTACGTTTCAGAAACCTAGAGCTATAGAACGACAAAAAAATCGCTCAAATCCGCCATCGATAAATGAAACTGAGTTTTGGGAAACATCACTATTGATACCGTACCTAGATTTTTTTATATCTTCGATAGAACGCCGATTTCACGATGAAAATTTTCCATCTTCTTCACTGTTTCTATTACATCCTGAAAATATGCTAAATACAAATATTCAAGATTTTAAAAAGAATATAAAAATTTTTACCGACTATTACAGTTTACAAAACTTTAACGGTGAAGCTGAGTTAAGGTAATTGGAAAGACAAGCAATTATCAAATAAAAAACTTGAATCCCTTGATTTGTGTGAAGTATTCAAAGAAACGGGCTCCTTTTTCCAATAATAAAACAAGTTCTCCATATTACCTTAGCACTACCATATACAACAGGTATGATTGAAAGATCGTTTAGTACGCTTAAAAGTCAAAACGTGACTGCGTTCAACAATGCCGGAAAATCGTTTGAATGGTAAAAACTAGAATGTGTGTAAAAAAATATTTAACTTATAACTTTTATGAAAAATTATATTGTAAAATTTTGTTTAAATTTCATTTGCAGGTCTTTGTATGTTAAGCGTACACAAAAAATTAGTTTTAGAAAAACAAAAAACATTTGAGGAAAACATTTTAAATCGTTTTGCTTTGGATTCACGACGTTTAGCGTTGCTTTAAAGTTTAAAGTTGTATTAGATAATATGAAAATTAAGTTAAGATAAAAATAAAATTTATATTATTAATAAATAACTGTAAGATAAAGTTCATAAAAATGTGT